GGTCCTGTTCTCATTCTGAGACCGTGGCTTCCGCACGGTGTCCGTCTGCCTTCGTAGAGACGAGCTCCGACACGAGGATTGACTCGAAGGGGCGCACCGGAGGAGAGAAAAGAGAAAAGAGGAAGGAGGAGTAGGTTGACTTCACGACCAAACAACCTAAGAGCGATGGCCTCCAACCTAGATGGCCTCCAAGGAGGTTGACTTCATGACGGAACAACAAAAACCAGATTTCCGTCCCGCTCTCGATTGTGCGATGTCCTCGCATCCGAAAATCAGCCGACTCTTCACTACTGCTGCTCCCAGCCTAGGTTGCTTCGTCCGAAAGAAGAGCAAAGAACCACAAGTGCACAACTTTGCTCAAGCAAATCTCAGGAGGCAAAGATGCAGCACACGTCGAAGGCCAAATCCACCGCGCTGAGGATCAGATCAGCCCACATGTAGCCTAACCAATGACAGGAGACGGTGAAGTGGTCTCAGCAGTCTCATGTTTCATGTAGACACCAGCGCATCTGTCCTACCGAACCCAGTCTTTGGTACTTTGTGACTTCCAAAAGGAACAAAGCCAAGGAACTACCAGCACCTGAGCCGTTCTGACCTCTTCGGAGTCTCCTCCGGTATCGTCGGGAGAACCTTTTACTGGCCTTTTCGTGACCGCACCTTCTCCTGGGATCTCAAAAAGCTATATTATATATATATATTATAGATTGATAGATAGACTTACACTTGGTTATTTTCAGGATGTGCATTTTAGATCACTTTAGCATATAGTGGCAGGATCGGCAAAAGTCACCTGGCGTAGATAGCAGATAGCCAAGATCGGAAACATCAACAACTGCCGGGTCCAAATCATCTGGATGCATTAGTGTCTAGCATCTGAGCACGGTGAGCAGTGTACAGGTTGAAAAATAATCCGCCTGTGATTCGACCCAAACCCGTTCATTCTTTGAATCACTTGGCATCGGGCAGTGTGCCCTTGCAGCAGTTCATGGTGAGAACACTCCTGTCACACCCCTTCTGAAGGCATTGGTAATCACCAACTTGGCCCAATTCCATGCTTTCCAAGCACCGAAACCAGTCGATCCCCCCAGGATCCAGAAAATTCCATAAGGCACCAGTGGACTGGACATTTCAGACATAGACCGACCTTCCCAAAGCTCCGCAGCGGGATGGCCAGGCACGGATCATCCAAGGGCCCAGCTGCTCCGCCTTTGGGTCCCCTGCAGCCAGCAGGATCTCCTGAATGGATACGACGCTTGGCAAGACCGGCGTGAGGTTTGTAAAGGACAGGTCTAAGTCCTGCTCTCACTCACTTCGAACAAGTTACCAACATATACCGACAACAGTTTGGTGATGTTTGGTGTGCGAAACTGTGGAGACTCAACAAGTGGGACAAGCAGCTCCAGAAATACACCCACCAAATTCTGGGTCTTGCAAGGTCATCCCCCCAATCCCAAACCATCCATGGGGGCATATTATTACCTGCGATTACCTGGTTGATTTGACATGTTCATCTATCTGGACACGCTTACTCCTGCGTCCGTTCCCTGTGGCTCTGCCGCTGTTTCCCCCGCGCATCGGTTTCGCGCCCGCCCTTTCCTCCTCGCGGATGGAGGTCTCGAGTTCCAAGGCCTTGGGGATGTTGAAGATCTGCGCGGACCGCTTGGAGCGCTGGCCGGATGCACGCGGACCGCCGGAGGCGCTCGCTTGGAGGCGCGCGCCGGCTCGGACGGCTCGGACCGTCTCGCGTTGGGAGTGCGGGAGGTCTCATGAAATCATAACAGGACCCGTGAGGAAAACATGGCCTCGCCCTAAACCAAACACCAGGCAAATGCGAACGACACACACAGCAGTGACGTCAGGGACTACCTTGAAACCTGGTGTCCAGCCTATCACCTGGCAGCTTTGCAGGGATGATCTCATCCATGCAAAGGGAATTCTTCAAGTTGGGTGATTGGTCATGGAGGTGAATGCAGCTGGGACGACCCAAGACAGAGTCCATCAAGGGACAGCTCTCTGACTGGGAGACTGTCAGGGATGGTCTGCCTGGCTCTTGCGGGCTCCAAATATCAAGGTTTTTGTTGTGTCTCGTTCCATCGTGTTCCGCTTTTTTTTACATATCGTGCAGCATCTCCAGGAGCTGAAGACCCAACATCTCCAACACAAAAGACAGCTGTCTCCTTCGGTGGCTCTGAAGTGGTTGTGACCGAGCCAAACCGAACGCCACGGGACAGCCCCAGAACGGCGTCGGCGCCCACGCGCCTGAGTCCCAGTATGGTGGAAATACAAGGCGCCGCCCAGCCACAGGCAGGGAGACAGAAAGGAGATGAGACCTCAGACGTGGCACTGGGCTTCTGGGCCGTGAGCACAACGACAGCACCACGACAGCCCAACTTGGAGTCCAACAACGACAGAACCTGAGAACAGCTGTGATTGAAAAAGGGTGCCAAGATGTGCACCATGCAGATTCGGTACTGCAATCAGTGTCCGTCAATGCCAAAGCGAACCGAGTCAATGCATGCAACGAACCCCAAGGTTTCTGCGGCCGAATGCACGAGCCCCAAGCAACCATTTGGGGGTGCACACGTTGAGTCAAAAAGTGTCCCCAAACGCCACCTGAGTCCCAAAACGCCACCAGACCAGTCTTCCAGAAACAAAGACTGATCAAAGAATGAGGACCGGCAGCTTCCTGATTGCTGGCATCACGGCTTCAACTCGTGGACGGTCCATCCCCGAAGAAGCCCACATGTCAAGCCTATTCCGGGTCTTGGGCGTCGACCTAAACCTGGGGCTCAAGCCAATTAGGAATCATATACTGCATAAATATAATTAGGTTCATGACTCACCTCTTGCATGATAAGGACTGCTTGAGCTGCGGCCCGGACCTTCCTTGAATCGCATTTTCTAACCCAAATTCCATGTTCCGATGACTCATGATGACTGGTTTGATGCGACTCACACTGGTTCGTAGCACTGATGTGCACAAATAATCATGAATTGTATCCTTTCACCATCACACGTTTGGCAGTTTCATAGCTCCAGCGACCTGGTTCACCGCTCCGAGCAACTCAAGCTGCTGCTGAAGAAAATGCTGATCCTGGGCCGGCTGAAATTTCTGGCCATGCTGGGCAGCTATTATTGCATGTCGGTGAGCAGTCTTAGCACCTGCATCTGCCCCCTCTAGCTTCTGCCACGTTCAATTCATCATAGTTTAATTTGGAGAAGAATAAGAATGTCCATGTATTGAACTGAAGAAAGTCCACGTATGTCTGTAACGACGCGAGAGTGTATAGCAGCAAACACTGCCTCAACCGAGCTCGGCTGTGAATCGTTCAAGCTGACTCCACGGCACCTTCCTAGCATCTCGGTCCCCACGTCAAATATGACTCCTGGATTTTGCACTCTCAACTCCATCCCAACCAAAACCCGCCGCGACTTTTTTAGCGCAGCAAAGGATCAAGAGGTTCACAGAACCCAAGGCCTGGTTTCGACATTGTGCCGCCAGCAAGTTGCAGTAGCCATACCTTTTAAGTTGCAGACCGAGCGAAATTCGCCGCACCCAAACGGTCCGAAACGGGTCGGTTGAAGCCAAAAAAACACCGCTTCGACGGTCATGTCCGTCGGAGGACGCGGTCGTTTTCTGCATCAAATGGGTCCAAATCGCGATCTCTTGAGGAGACATGGTCGTTTTCCCTTCTGAGGAACCTTCAGACACAGCCAGTTAAAGGGATTCAAAGTCGTTAAGATAACAGTGAGAACATTGAAATCCCACTAGTGACGGGACTCCCTTTATTTCGAGCCATGGCAACGTCATGTAATTAGACCTTTTGGGTGGTTGAAGCGTCCGCGCGGGAGTCATGATTCCCGTACATGTCCTGACTGATTATGTATAGGTCGTTTGGTCTACTTCCCAACACCATTTGGAGATTTGGTTGGTCGATCTCTACACTACTTCTACACTTCCATGTTCTACACTACACTTCCATGTTGGCACTTCCACGACTCCATGTTCTACACACAGTCAGCAAAATCGCCATCTCTCAACCTTGGTCTCGAGAGACCTCGACCGAGCTGCGCCCATGAGACGGACATACACTTCTGCCACTTCGAAGGAGAGAAGAAGGTCCCACAACCTGGCCGAAGCCAAGACCTTGGACCGACAAAACACGGCCGCCAGCGGTTTGATGTTTTGTGTCTTTTTCACACTGAGTGGAAGGGAAGTGGACCTGGAAATCGCAGGGTTCCAGGGCCAAGCTTGAAGTTGACAAGGGGAGCGACGCGGCTTTTCGACCGCAGCTTTGAGACAGCGGCAGGTGGTTCTTTTGCGGACCCCTTGAAACTGTGTGAAGAAAAGACACAAAAACATCCAAACCAAATAGTAGAAGCCAAGCCAGGCCATGACATGTGAATTATAGCTCCAAGGTTTTTGTTGAGCCATACCACCGTCCCGTTCGCTTTTGGAACTCGGCCGTTCCACGTTTTTGTTGGTACCTCGATGTGACCGCCGCGACGTATGGCTGCACTGTTGGACGGGTGGACGGGTGGAAAGATGGACCTGAGATGACCTGAGGAGGTTGAGGCACCAACCGTTGTTTTTGGAAGGGCGTTATAATAAACCCATATGAAAACAAAGTATTCAGTATATTCAGATCGATATAGTACTGGGTATATATAGTATATGGTATAGTGCTAAAATGTGCTAAAAAGCACCTTTGAATCCACCATCTACTATGTATATATGTATATACGGCGTCTAGAGTCTAAACGGAATCCATATGTCCACAAGTAAGCAGAGAAAAGGACTAGCTCTCCACCCTCCTGTCGCACCAAGAGCGTGTCTAACGCGTCCGCCAACGCGTCCGCTGCACGGCATCTCTCTGCGTCAAGCCGACGGCATCTCTCCGCATGCATCGTCCTCAAATGGAATGAGCGGTGATGCACACATCGGCCTTAGGACGTCCGTTCTGTCTGTCCCACAGGCTGTCACAGAGGGTTTGAGCTGAGCTCCTCAGGAAAGGAGCAACCTCTCTGGGAAACAAAAGGACAAGGAAAAGAAAGGGGGAACCAAGCTGCCTCGTTTTGGGAGGTCCTGAAGATAAAAACCCAGAGAAATACACCCAGGGTCGGTTTTAGGCTCTGAGGAGGCTCTTTGATCGATCAATGTGGGGAGATCACGGGGACCTGTCGTGGATGATGGGTTGTAGGTTGCATCATGTTGCATCACAGACCGACTGTTACTGGTGGGCCACACCCATACCGATGTGCATAGGGACGCTCAAGAGATTTGTGCGGACGCCGACGTTGAATGCTTAACCACACATGGCCGCTTCAAAGTGCCCTAGAAGATGGGAATCAGCCAGAAGGTATCATGCTTCTGTTGCACCCGTGGCCAAAGAGACCTCAAGCAGAGTATAGGCACCACATGGCACCACCCAAAAAACAACAACAACTGATGACCATGGAAGCTTCTCACCCCGACTGTGGGCACAAGTCCGATGGTCAGGGCTTGACATCTTGCAGCCTTCGACTCCCGACTTCGGAGGACCTATTGGAACCGCTTGGGAATGCCGATCGATGAATCAACTACACGACACTCAGAATCAACGACACGCAGGAAGTGGAATTTGCAAATAACAAGTTGTAATCCACGAGAGCATGCCATCCACGTAACCATGTTCGTGAGTCAGAGTGTATCTCTTGATTTAACACGACTTTGTGCTGCCATGTGCTGGTCCAAGGGGAGACCTTTTTGCTTGCCAGCTCTTCGAGAATCCTCCAGAAGGCTCCGCTGCGAGCTTGTACAAAGGATTCCGCTCGCCGCTTGGCCTCTTCTCCTTTCGCCTTTCTCCTTGTGACGTCCTTCATCAAGCTTTCCACCCGATGAGTAAAGCCCGCGGCCTCCTGGGGAGGCGGAGGATGTCTGCAAAAAAAGCAACTAGCAGTCCGATATAAAAGGTCCGATCCAAAAGAAGGCAAAAGCCATTGATGTTGCCCTGCAACAAGAACCTTTGATTGATGCAGTGGGTCTGTTCGTGTTTTGTTTGTTGTTTGTGACTTGTAGTGTTTCGTTGTTGGGACTGTTGTTTGCGGGGTTAGTCACGCATCAAGACCAACCATCACAAGACGATCCCTCGAATCTTTGGCAAGAGACCCCTCTTGTCTGAAAACAAGTACTAGTATCCAATTGTTGACTAAGGTGGTGGAACCCAAAGGGTTCCAGAGTCGCAACTGGCATGTGCACCCCACCGGTCGGTGAATTGTGTGCATGGCAACCAGCCGTATTCTCGAGGTGTTTTCCATCCAACCACCCAAACTGGGTGGTGCTGGTATGTCTGGTATGTCTTGGGTGATGAAGAGGTCTTTGCAAATCATTGTCTCATTCCCTGGCCTCTTCCGTGGCGATGTACAGATGACTCTCTGCCAAATCTCGCATTCGTTCCTCACTGGGCGGAGGCTCATGCCTGGTGGGAGACAAGGTGTGCTCGAGCTCGTCAATGGCGCCGCGATGGAGAGTGCCTGGGATTGAACACCAAGTCAAGATCGAGACAAGAGGTGATTTAAGAAATCCAGTAACGCTAGCTGGAATCAATCCCAAAATAACAAAACAAACACGCATCATGACTGAGAAATGGATCCAGACCTAAATAAGTTCTGGTGATTCCATCAGTTCCCGTTTGGGCTCCCTACCGGTGTGTGGGGTGGGTGCTTACGCCTGCTTGAAGCCAAGCGTCGAATCCTTAAGTCCTGAACCAGGCGGACGCTGACGCGGAGCTCCTCACAGAAGTTGGCCTCTCGGAGTCCGTAGTGATCACCTCAGCTGAGGTGAGTGGTTCTCTTCATCCCAGGTCAGTGTAGGCTCTTGAGAACATTCAGATCTTTCAGGAAAACTTCCAAAACCCAGATCTAGGGTACCAACCCGAATTGGTGAGAATCCAGGCCCCTTGAGAAGGTCGGGGTCGGCAAACCGACGAACCCATCCATCCCAACCATTCCTCACAAAGTCTCATCGCATCGCAGGACCCTGGTGGACATGTCCGCCCATCCCATAGTGCATTTTGACCCACACTGAAGTGACACACCTTGGAGATTGGAGTCGTTGGAAACCCCCGCTTGGAACCAAGATCAGAACATGTTTGGTTGGACGTTTGGCATGCCGGTGTGCGATCACAATATTGGCATGTGTTCAGCCATACCTTGCAATGAGAACTATAGTCACTATAACAATGCAACGCGTGGGCGTGGGCGTAGCAATGGTATGACGTTTGGTATGCGTGGGCCATGGCCAACTTTGTTGAATGCTCTGCAACAGTCTGTATCCCAGGATGAGGCCCAATGTAGTTCAAAAGCCATACACGGATGGGGTCTGCCACAATGATATCACCAAAATCGATGACGCTATTGATGCGGAAGAGGCACCAAAACTGTGAGACTAAACGATATTGTATAAAAGGAAATCAACTGCATCAACAGCACCAAACTTCATCTAGACATATCTAGACACCTTTTTAATCACCCTGCGTGTTCTTTTTGTTGCACCGCCGTGGAAACCACGCTGCGTTTCACCACGATCGACCGCGATCCGCCGTTCGCGGCGCGAAAACAAGCGCCGCTGTCCAAGGCGCTGCTGACCACAGGGATACCCAGGAGCTGAGCCTCAACGGCCACGAGTCCAAAAGCCTCTGACCAAATGGAGGGCACCAGAAGAACTGCTGTGCGTCGATAGATGTCCTCCTGGCATCGCACTTGTGAACTTGTTTACTTTTTTAATGCAACAACAAAACATGTGATGCAGGAAAGGCATGTACAAAACTGCAGAACGCGTGCGCTCTTGCTACCTTTCGAAGCGACAATGTATGAATGCAAATTGTGAATGGATAAACACCGTTCACTGGGTGCAAACTATAAGGCAGGCGTGTTTCATGTTGTTTCTTTGTAACAGCACAAACGATGTTTATACATGCTTTTTGTGAGAAAACTGGAAGAACACTACCCACACGTGTATCACTGCAACCCTAATTACTAAGCTACGTGTGTTTGATATGTTTGAAGCCCTTGGAAGTACAACTTTACATGAAAAAAACATTCATTTTAGTGTTCCCAGCAAATAGGTGGGCAAACACCCCCAAGAAGACGAACAACAGTTACAATAGAAGAAAAGGAAAGGCAACAGTAGGGAAAAGCAACATTGGAAATGAGTTCTAAAAGGGCCAACCCCTGTCAAAGGACTTGAAACACAGTATATAAGTTAAAAAGCCACCATCTGGAGATCGCAACCGAGGGGCGGGTAGACAACCCCAAGAAGACAAACAACATGTATGTATAAGTACATATAGAACAAAAAACAACATTGGACATCATGTCCGGGTCTAAAGTTGCCCAATCCTTGGCAAGTATTTCAAATAACGCAAGTTTAAGCACCCGTTTCAATTCAGTGTTTCACCCACGCTATCCCAAAAAAAGGGGTGTGTAGAAAATCCCAAGACGACAAACACAAAAGGTATAGAAAACAAGGCAACATTGGAAACTATGTAATTACCAACGGACACAAAATAACGGAAGGCTTCCAAAATACAATGGGTGGGTCCAGCCAGATCGATAACATCAGTAGGGGCAACCTCAAGTCAATTTCAATCGAAAGGTGGGAGTCCAACCTGAAACGCTATCTTGCACAAACACCTCGCCACCAACCTCATCCTGCCTCAGAATAGTTGTATAATTGATAATTGATATACATCATGTGGCTCAAACCTTGGGGGGCTCCAATACAACCAACAAATTACGCATATAGACTATATATGTTGCATCAATAGAATAAGCTCCAGCTAATACCTTACCACCAATTGGAAATAACACACAAGAGGCAAACACGCATATGCCGCAAAACATATTTCACCATGCATTATATATAGAACTCATATATTAATTCCATGCACATAAAAAAAGAAACCATTAATACATATTAATGCATATATATTATATACCTACAATTATATATGTCGACAGGCAGAATTCGTTCGCCCAACAGCATACACAGAGATGGAACGCTTCGGTTCGTTCGTTCGCGCCGAGGTTCCACCGATGTTCGCCCCGGCAGGATCTCCACGTTGGGGAGCTTTCGCAAGGCTTCCACATGGATGGACTTGGTCCACAAGGTGGTGACCGCTAGGAAGCGCAAGGAGGGCAATTGATGGGCCACCCGGAGGAAGATGGCAAGGCCTTGCACTATTGATGGAATGTTCAAAGAAAGAAGGAGCGGTTGGTCCTTCAAATTGCTGCAGAGAAGGAAGCCCAACACTCAATGTGACTGGCACGCGGCATAATATACATAGTACCCAAATGTACCCATATTATACATTGGGGGTTTCTGAAGCTAATGCAGGTACAAATTCCATATATTGAATGTCTGGGGATTGGTAGCCATGTGCGACCTGAAAAGATTGGAACATTGTGTAACGGCACAGGTGTGCCTGGAGGCCGAGGCAAAATCTGTGTCATGAAAAAGACGTTCTTTCAAGAATCTCTAGAGTTTTCTGAGTTTGTCATGTAGTCTCACGTTGGCTGACTCAACCCATTTCAAAAGTCCAGTCCACTAAAACTGGAAACAAACACATGACAACTTCATACAACTTCCATGCCTTTGGTATTGCCTCCGGGAACGATCACGACGTTTGTTCCGTCACCGATCTTCGCAGCGACGCACACGGCCCTCGGGCCTTTGGCCGGGCAAGGGCTGATGAAGGTCACCAACTGCCCGGTGGAGCTTTCAGAGTTGGAGAAGCGATCAAAGTAGCCATAGTCCGCCGAATAACCTGAGGTTGGTGGTAAACCTCTTAGACAAATATGAGTCAGTGTGAACATGTTTGTTGGATTTTGTTGGAAAGGTTGACCAAATGACCATATTATATCTGAAACCACTGCCCAGCCAGCGCTTTTGGAAGCTGAGCAGTTTGGAAAGACCTTCATGTTGTGAGCCCAAAAGCTTATTGTTGGTTTGGCAAAGACGCGGGCCCAGAGAGTCTAATTATATAATCTTATACGTTAACACCTATACTGAAGAATTAACCATTCAACGCATTTTGGGGGGGGTGTGAGGTTTTGAACAACACAGCGCGGCACCATCAAATGCAAGTTTCAACAGGCGGTATAGGTGAGAAAGAATTTCGGTTGAACTGGAAAATGGCTCCAACAGCACAAAAAATAGAAGAAACAAGCTCTCTCGGCATACTGAACTGAGAACTGAGTGCTTTCCTGCATGGAATCAACTCAAAACATATTCACGCGTCAGTTCTCTCTCCATGCAACAGAGTCGAGTCTCCACTTGACCCTCGGACCAACGTGTCACGTATTCCGCCAGGTGTTGTGAGGTACAACAAAGCCGCGTCCGCCGCAGGAGCTCCACGTGACTGTCATGAAGTTCACTCGACGCCTTGCCACAGCGAAAACGTGACCGGAGAAAACATGAGCGGTGGAACCGTGGTCAGTTACGTAGTTCAAAAGCAGGAGAGCATCCCTGCAGTGTTGGAGGCCAGGACGTAACTGTTCCATGTACTCTAAAGAACTTGGACCACTGCAAGGTGAGCAAAATGACTTGGAGCTGGCATTCTGAGACATCGGAGCTAAAACAGTTGATGGTGGCGGTGAAACCTGGGACTGCCGCCGAATCAAGCCATGGTCGATCCTGATGCTCGAAGTTCTTGGACATCTCAGGCATGGGGATGAAGATGAAAACGTGAGTGAAGGACGCATGTGGGTGAGTGATTGTCCAACCAAACGCAAACCACATGAATTGTAAGTTCGAAGATGGCCAGTATGAATGGGTGGTGGCCGGGAGGCCGGTGGGTGTGATCCACACCAGGGGTACTGGACTTGAGCTAGGTGCAAAACTTGGCTCTCGCAGGGTCTTGCCTGCAGCACACTGGCACACGGGCTTTGTGACATTGGAGGAAGTCTGGCTGCCCTCACTTGGAACTCCACGATCACATGCAACTGCAACCACCCAGTGTGGTTGGAAACCATTCCCTGTGTGTGCACTTTTTGGGGCTGCTAACAATCATTTCGGATCTGTTGATGCTTGCTGCTGGGCGGCCACATCAGTGTTCGACCTGCAGCCACACCCTTTCACTTGATCACCCCCTTCACCGCGTCGCGTCGACGCGGTGAGTCGACCACGGAACGACCACGGAACGACGTGGATCAGCCCACCTCTCGCACCCCCCAGGGGCCGATTGGCAGATTGTAGTCATGCCCCATAGCCACATGGGTCTGTGCAGTCACTGCATGCAGCAGCGTGAGCATGTCGCGACGCAAAGATGTGGAGAGCGCCACCTTGAGGGAAGTGGGCGAGCAGAAGAAATGGGGGCCGAAAATGGACTGATTCTGAACATCAAGAGTACGAGGGAGTACGGGAAAAGCACCTCAAGACTCTTGTGCGCCGATAGTTGTTTACATGTGTTTCCAAAACTAAAACAACTGTCTGTGAACCTCTTCCTTTTGAGCAAGACTCCAACTCAGCGATCTCCGTTCAGTTTGCCGCCCCTCAAACAAACAGATCTAGCCGGCGCAAGTCCTTCCCCTAGGGTATTCCACATTCAATCGCACATCCTGACATGACAGTGGATTCTAAGGTGGCCCCTTCCGGTGCCGTTTTGAAAAGAGAATTGGACAGCTACTACTAAGAGACTTGAGACAACACACTGGTGCTGGCATGTGCTGGCGGTTTCCGCCCAACATGGTGGCCGCTTCCACCACGCTGGTAGTTCTGTCGCGTGTCCGCCTCGCAGCGCAAGTCTCCTGCCACAGCCACCAGGAGCTGCTCCAAGTCACCTGCAATGGAGGAGCTTTTAGGTTCAAATGAAGAAGATCAAACACTATAAATTATCAATGACCATGTAGTACCATGTACCACTATACACATGAACCAGGTGTGTTTCTTCCTGCTTCAAAATGACAGTTCTCAAAAAGAGCCAACATCCAAACATCCAAGCAATTGCGATCTGTCGGTGTGTCATCTAACAGTTAGGTGGGCGCCCATCCGGGCTAAAGCAAACAAACTCCATCCCTTTGGCCCCTCCTGGCATCTACAGAATCATGTATGAATCGGAGCGATTCCTTTTTCAAAAAGCGATCAACAAATATCAAAAGCGGCTCCCAATCACGGCTATGGATAAGCACCTTCTGCTTCGCAAAAAAAAAGGTGAACGCGGCTTCGCATCATGTTTCGCCCCACATGATGCTTATGACTGCCATGGCTTACAAGCGATGTTTAACGTCCTTGTTTCTACCCATGGTGTGGAAAAAGCACAGTACATGCCAGATGGGTGATGTTCTGTGTGCTAGACGGTGCCTCGCCAAGCTTCCACCAGGCCATAGCCCTGCACCTGAACTTGTAAAAGCTCCGGACCCTCAATGGACAGCTCGAAGGCCGTCTGGAGTTTCGAGCTCCCTTCCTAGAGCAGCAGACCGTTTCGAAGTATCACACTTTCACTCCAAGAAGTCCCAATAAGTCGTGTGCGACCAGGATTGATGAGGCATATTCGGCTGAACTGAGGATTGCTCTGCCCACTCCACTTTGGGGTGCAAGTGATTGGACAAGTAACTGGACACCCAAAACTCTTCAGAACATTTCAGAACACCAGTGTACCGTGCAGTGTACCGTGCAGTCCACATACTCTTGTCTCATGACTTCCGGATACCTTGATCGACGTTGATTGACAACTGAAAACCTTTCTATCCCTAGTGCTCCAAGTACCTTCTTAGGTGTTTGGGAAGAGTTTAGAGGGTCCAGTCATACCTTCTGAGGAGCTACTTGGAGCCCTAGGATATGACGTTCTTCATTTTCCTCGCCTCCAAAGGTGCTTGAAAGTCTAGAATCAGTAGCACCATCAGCGTCCACCCAGATCGCGCGCCTTCCAGCACATTCCGCAGGAGTGCGTGAGTCGCCAACTTCCGGCCATTCCCAGAGCTGGACACGTCTACGTGGGGATCGAAATAAGAAGTTTCCTTGAACTCGTCTTGAGATGCAATCACCACCTGAAGGGATGACTATCAAACTATCATGTGTTACCATGATGAATCTCTCTTTCTGTCAATTCAGAATGCGCTGCCGGCGTGAAAAAGCAACAACGAACACCAAGACAAAAGAACGTCTGTCTCAGCGCTTAGCCCGTCCGAGCGGCCAAGGTCCGGCAGTTTCCCATCACCTTCGGATCCATTGGGACCTTGGAGCGTACACAAAGCCAGGAGCCCTTTAAGGCCCTGCGCTTCTCCAGCAACTCCGCCGGCGCCTTCGGCCGCACGTACGCCACGCCGCAGCGGCCCAAAGGGCCCAAGCCCAGCACGAAGCCCGAGTCGCCGTGGCAGTGGTGCTTGCAGAGCTGAAGGGCTTTGGGTGTCTTGAAACCCAAGGGCAAGCGAAAAGTCTGGAGATTTTCACCTGGAAAGGCGTCCACATGGCGCCACACGCGCCAACTGGGCCGCCAGTGGCGGAGACGCTGAGCAAGCCTTCCACGCTGCCGGGGCCAGGTCTCACGTCGCTCTGCATGAGCCATAGGGCGATCGTGGAGCAGCTTTAGTTGCCTCAACCTGGGAGGTATGTAACTGGTCATCTAAGCAGTGGAGGAACAAAATGAATGTTACGTGAGTGCTTGTGTACTGGGGACACAGTGTGCCCATGTTTGAGGATACTTTGAAGACTTCTAGAATATTCTAGAATGCTTTCGCATGACAAACATATATTATATCACTTAATTTGCTTAGACATGTTCCCATCACGTTGGGGTCTTTCTTCTTAAACCAAAAATCCCATGCATGTCGTTTGACTTAGCACAAATGGCTTCAGCATGCAAAGCCATTGTCCAAGACTTTGGACCTCACCACTTGGTCAGGCTTGGACCGCGGGACGACTGTGACTGAGATAAGGTTGATGACCTTTCAACAACTTGGGCGCCAAGAAGGATAACACAAACATCGATGATCCTGGGAAAGAACATGAAAGAGCCACGTCCACCAATTCAAAACACCTTGTGATTGTGTCTTGTCTTCCAGCTTTTTCTCCTCTGTCTGTGTCCATCCTCAAAACTCACAGAACCATCCGATTCATTCCTTCTCCTTCAACCCCCCCCCCCCCGGTGCTACCACCGTTAGTAACACCCACGTCCCCTTAGGTCGCCGGCTCGTCATGGAAGTTCGGCACCATCAGGACCCACACCGCCAGCGAGCCCATCCGCAAGCTGGCTGAGATCCTCCCCGCCGAGCGAACCCATCGACCATCGAACCGTGACCCACGCAGCGCGATGGTCGAGCGCCAATTGACGGATCCGCGCATTCGCGGAGTCCGAAGGGAACCGGTGTGGAGGGGGAATGGTGTTGGTACCTATATACGCCATGCTAAGCCTGGAGTGGGCAGGCATCCAAAAGAAAGACGGCAAAAGATGGACCAAACCTGAGGCCAAGTAACAACAGGCGAACAAAAAATCAAGATCGATCGAAATTTTGCCCAAGTCGTCCTCGCTTTTGGACACCAAGTTGGACCCTTGACATCCATTGAGTGCATTCATATTATGGGACCCAAGGGATTCCAAAGGCCCTTGCTTTTTCTCCCTGGATCCTGTCGGGGTGGATACCACTTCTTATATCGGATGCACAGCTGGTGCAGAACTTGCCAAACTAGATATCAACATATATTATCAACCCAATTCTTGCTGAAAGTGAAAGGATAATTAGGAATTGCCCGTATATCTTTCTTCTACTTTTTTAAGACCTCGCGGATCTTGGACTGGGCCTTGACACTTGTGGCTGCTCAGTTCGGGGACACCGCTAAGGTTTTTTTTGGCCTTGACACTTTTCGATCCTGCTCGAATTGCAATCAAACAACCCGAACACCGTGAGAGATCGCTGTCACTGGCTTTGAGAGCTTAGATCTCCTACTTCGGGGTGTCCCCAACTTGGCAGCCAAAGCTTCATGAATCCATGTATGAATCCCAAACCTGTTCCGCCAGGAAAGCAATGCCTCCTTGATCTATTCCCCAAATCCTCTCATCCGTCGCCGTTGAATCCGGAGACACCGGACGCCACCGAAACGCGGACCAGCGGACCATTGGTAGATTGAAGCTGATCGTTGGCTATGACCTCAGGGGGGCGTTGCCCATTTCCGAGGCATCCAACGCTAGTTGAAACTCATTTGAGGGGACGTGAATCCCCCCATGAATCCCCCGGCATGGTCTTAGCGTCTGCAAAGGGGAGAGGGTTTTTCATCCAGTGGACCCATGTTCATGGGCAGGTCCAAGGCCGCAGCGCGGGGGGAGGTCTGTTCCTCGAAGGCCCGGAGAACCGCAAGTACCAAGTTGACAAAATTGTAACATCGCCCAACCTTTGGGCAGCTCAGCACCTCCCCATTTGCGTGGAGCTGCAAGGCTGCTGTTTCCAGTGGTATATCCACTGAGAGCCCTCACCGGGGCCCCCACCAAGCAATACAGGCAAGACACCCCAAACCTCAACCAGCCTACTCGCTCGCTCACTCACTCGCTCACTCACTCACTCACTCACTCCCTCCCTCACTCACTCACTCACTCACACTCTCACACTCACACTCTCTCCCTCTCTCTCTCTCTCTCCCAAACAACCATACCCAAACAATCCGTGCATGGAAGGTTGACCCAAATTGACCTACATTATCCTACATCGACCACAAAACATCTTATATACATCCATCCGTGTAGGCTAATGTTTCCATACATGGATTATTTGGCATAGAGACTCAGGGTAGATGGAGAAAGTCTCAAGTACAATTCAGCAACAAACAAACTGAGGCACCCCAAAAAGCTCGAGCCACCTAATGCCTAAGATCGTTCAAAACATCAACAACCATGACATACCATGGAAACGCACAAAAGTCCTCGGGACGAACGAACAACTCCCCGGTGCGGAGCGCACGGGATGTGCACACCGAGGCACAAAGCCCAAAGCACGAATGCTGCTCCTGAGCGTGGGACACGTGACACGGCACGTGACACGCACGTGACCCCCCAACGTGGAGATGGCACGTACCATGGGGCCGACTCGCGACTCGTCTTCAGACATTGCACAATAAGATACAATAAGTGTGTAATAATATATATATACCTATAGAGCCCTTTGACATAGAAATCTTTGATACGAAAAATAAGTAGTACGAATGCACAAAAACTAGCACGTGTTCCCCAAAAACAGTCGAGCCCAAAAAACTAGTACGAACAGGGGTGAGGTTGGCAGCACAGACAGCGACAACGGATGCACCTCGACGTCATCTTTTTCCACTGCGTCCGGGCCTAAGGTCCCTAGGGTGGCGGGTGGAGGTAAGAAGCGTGAAATTCACTGGCCCACTCTCTTCGATAAAGGCCAAGGGATCGCAGAATTGTATTCAAAGGAGCAGTCAAAACACTTGTCCTTCTACTGATACGCGATACTCTTCCTATGAAATCCTCATCGGTCCACGTCGCGTGGACCGCCGGATTCTCGATGAATTGGCAATCACGATTGCTCTCCAACATGTGTTGGACGTCGAGCCTTGGGCTAGTCGATTTGATGGCATTGGCTTGATTCAGGAAGCTCTGACATATCAGGAGCACACTTTTGAGTCTTGAGTGTTGCTGTTTGCTATGTTCGAGCTTGTTGGCTGCCAAGTAACACCAAATGGCAAAACATGTGCAGTTTAGGGCGGAGATTAAAGCCTCGCCATCCTTGTCTGGAACATAGGCTGGCCAAAGTCGCGTAGCCATCCTTGGGGGGGCTAACTGAGCAAAGAAGTGTGAGGAGCCAGGAGCCCGGGTCGGGTCCAAACAAAACCATGCACAACCTATAGATCTGTTTTGGTGGCGATGTCAAGTCTATAGAAACCGGTGGCTGTTCAACCTTAAGTAAGAAAACATCATGCATGTGGGGCTAAGCCACTGTGAAAGCCCAGCCATCCAAGACTATGTTTTCCGCATCACGCCTGCTAAGCCATAGCCCGTTCCCGTAAGCACATCTCCAAAATCGGTTCACCGCCGCACAACTCCACTGCAGCACCTCCACTTGATCTTTGTATTGGTCTTCCTGGGCATGCGGAAGCATCCTGATTGAGAAAACTCTACTACAGCGTGCCCACGTCAACAACCCCAAAACACCAAAAGTCACACTAGCTTCAATCCTTGTGTCTACCAAGGCCAAATCGATTTGAAGAAGCTCTTCATCCAACCAAGCGCCAACAACTGCAGCGTCTTGGCCTTTACCAAGGCCCTGTGGTGAGTGGCGTAGCCTTTGTACCCGGGAAAATGGGAAGCATTGAAGCTATGACTGCAAGACCCCAGGATAGATTTTGAGTTGGCCAAAACCGAAAAGTGCTAAATTGTCAACAGGAAACGAGCCAACAGGCAACTTGAAGGTCTTGTAGCTGAACTCATAGATGCTTGTGCGTTTCCCCCGGGCATTACAATATGCCATGAAGCGTGAGTAAGCATTCTGAAATTTGCAGTCCGTGTTCCCGTTGCCAAACCAGCCCAGATTCATCAGAAGAATGATAGCGCTTGCGCAGAAGTTCTTGCCCACCCCATCAATTGCGTAGGTGTGAGCTGGATCAATCCGTACATATTTGGGGGTTCCAGATAGACACTTGAGATCACGTAGCGGAGAACGTACAGCTTTGAAGGGGTTTGGATTCATATCCAATGGGCCCAGACGCTTCACGTCAACCTTGACATTCCACCAGTCCTGTAGGATGTTGATGTTACGGGTCAAACAAAGTACTTGCAAACACATAGCGGCGGAGTACAACATATAAGAAGCACTTCATCTATGCCACTAAAAACAGTGGGAGCCAGGAACACAAGTGAAGGGTCCTTAAGCTGGCAACGATGGCATTTCTGTTTGCAGTTGTATCCACAGTTCAAGCCCATGCTGGACCTCAAAAACGGCCAATCACCTTTAAGGCTCACCACTTCGAACCGGTACCTGTAGGTCTTCTGCTTCCAAAGTACCTGAGAGCTGGCCATACGCGTCAAAAGGGGGGGCTCCAGCAATTTTTGTTTCTGAGAAGCAACGGGGGTGGTCCCAAATGATTTGCGCCAGCCAAAAACAAATACAGATCAAAATAATTAGTCGACATGTTCAAGACGGGGAACGGTGATTCCTGTTTCGCTCATGCTGTTGAGGTCGGCAACCCACGCTGTCAGCAAGTCGTACAAGGTGGATTGGGTGTAGGGGGACGGGATGATGGTGTAAAGCAACCGGGTGCATATGCTAGGCCTTGGCTCTTGCTTCTGTGGGAATGGATGGGCATAGGATTCTTGCAAGGGGACCCAAAGACATCCAAAGACAAACAAACAAGTTGTAACATTCTGGCATACTTGCTCAACAAAAGAGTGCTTTGGCAAAGCTGAAAGACCCTGCCATGTTCGTTTTCCCAGGCCGAAGTGGAAGCACACATTGGGCACTCAAAACCATCACTGGTCGCTTCATGCGACCTCTCCCCTCGTCACCGTGTAAGCTAATCGGAATGCTGTGGTCCCACCTCTCTCTAGGTGGCATCTCAAAGTCTGGATGCGTAGCTTCAAACTTTTCCCAAAAGTCAACAAGGTCCCTGGAAAACTCATCAGCGCTATCCATGGTTTTGCCCTGCATGAAGAAGTGGACCCCCATTAAAGCTCACCTCTGCCCAGCTCCACAAGTGAAGGACCGGGTGCTGGACTGGCACTGGGGTAGGTCTTTTCCTTGAAACTCTACGCTTCGTGGGGACATAGGTGATGTCAACCGGAAGAATCTTTTTGAACGCTTTGACAGTTCTGTGAAGATTCCGGCATATGTGCGAGTCCGACTTGCTTTTGCCACACTTGGCCATCTTGGAGAGAAACAAGTCGGCCAATCCTCCGCCAACAAAGTATGCATGCGCATTCAAAATGTCCAAGTGTAAAACAACGAAGCTGTGGCAAAACAGGGTTTACAACACGCAAACCATCAACATAAACTCAAGACAAGGCACCATGTTTCTTGAGCCGGTTGTTGGCCACTGTAGCGAGCCGGACAATCCGAGCTGCTGACTCTGCCTCAGCCCAGCGAAAAGGTCAGTATACCGTATGAATTTAAGCGATCCCTGCACGACTATACCAAGGCCCCAAACCCAGTGATTTCTCTCAGACGAGGGGCCCCCTGCTCGAATCCGGTCAAAAGTTCGTCCGCCAGATCAGCATCATCGTCTTCATAAAATCCTGACGATGCGATGTTGAGAGGTTGGAACTGAAACGGGCTTGGGTGAAGTTGGGACAAACGTTGTTGGAACCTGCCTCCATCAACTCGCGAGGTAAACAGGCCACCACGTGTTTGGCCTGCGAAGGGAGTCAAAGGTATTGAAACTAACTCGAACCTTTTTGTGTTCTGCCACCAAAAGAGGAGGCCATGGACCCATGGATTCACCTTTTGTTCTTTGGCGAAACCTCACTGACTCCAGATGAAACTGGGTACATTCACCCCACCTGCGTATTAGCTGTTGCTGTTTTGCACAGCCTGCGGCCTGGAATGTGTTGCTACAAAAAAGAAGTATCGTATATGCATGTTTTTTTTTAACCATGCTGTTGCAGGCTGTGTGGCAACAAAACCCCATGAGACTCGATAGATCAATGGTATCACTGATCTCATCTCCAAAAAGCACCAACCCTTAAAGAGCTGGATTTCTAGGCCTCATCACCGGCCGGCTTAGAAGACTTAGCCTTAGCCTTTGCCTTTCCGGCCTTTGCAACCTTAGCTTTTGATTTTCTTTTAGGCTCTTTGGCCTTGGCCTTGGCATCCTTGGCCTTTGTGGTTCTTTTAGTACCGGCCCCGCCCCCACCACTGGTCTTGGCGCCCTTGATGTTCCTGCCGGCGAGGCGGATGACGTGCAGAATGGAAGCTGGGCAAACAGCGGCAAACACAGAATGTTCGAGCCAGGGGCCTAGCTCGAACCACAAGGTTGTTCAGCGCAACATCGGTTCTGGTGCAAGAAGCACAGAGAAGTAGCATCTCCTTTTGCTGCTCAGGCCTCACGGTTATTCTTTTCACTTATATTTGGTAACGTTTGCTATGCCATGCATGCATGGTATACATCTCAAAGTGCCTGGCAGCTCGCGAAACTGCAACATCAGCTTGAAGTGCTTCAAGCTTTTTATAGAGAGTCTTCATGGAATTCGTGTGCGTGGAGATCTCGTCAGCGTACCTCGTGATGTGCAGTCATGACTGCGCACTCTGAGGCAAGCTTTGCTGCATTCTCAGGAGAGGGCTCTTTGGCTTGGTTGCTGGAAGACTTCGAAAGTTTGTCCTCGCAAAGGGTGAGCGCTTGGGAAGGGTTCACTTTTGCCAATCCCAACAGCAAGCGAAACAATGGAATCTAAAGGGTAGAATCCAGTCCAGCACGGCTGCCACTGCATCGATCTTTCGTCCACAAACGGACAGGAATTGTGGTAGCACAGCCATGGCCGAACTGTTCTCTTGCACGGATGGAAAGACCAACCTGGGCACCAAACATGCAGAGAAGCCTAGGTTCTAGCGTATGGGACCTGTAACGAGCATACTGAGTTGAATCTAAGGGGCTTGAAAGACCCAGAGTTAGCCAGGGTAGCATCGGTGGTTCCAGTCTGAGCATGGTTTCCATGTTGGAGTAAGTCTTCCATGGAGGAATCCATAGTTGGCACGTCCGTCTCAAACACGGAGCCGGTAGTGTCCTAAGAATTCTGCAATATATATCTTATAGTATACAAACTGAAAGCTTTAACCTGAGCTAGATTGTACGTTAATATTTAGGAAGCAGTGCGACACTCTTCAACCGGAAATGCTGACATGGTTCTTCAACATCCATGCGAACCCGTTCCGTTGTGGTTGTGCCCTGCTCGTCTTTCATCGAAAAAGACTGACCTAGCACCAGTCGTGCTTCTTGTTCTCCGTGCATGCTGTTTACCCGAACGAGCCCCCGCGAAGACGCCCAGTCAAAGGCTGCAT